AACTCTAATAGTGTAAAAGTATGCGTACACACACACACAATCTCTGTTAAATGTATGGTATCAATATATTTATTGTTTTATTGTTTAACAGTATAACATTTTAAATGAGATAACATTTTAAAGTAAATAAACTTAGTAATAAATGTTTACTAACAAACAAAACATAACTAACAAAGATTTAAAAATAGTTGGTGCCTTTTTATTTTTAAAAGCAGCCAATAATCTAAAACTTAAGTTACATGAGTTTAACGTAGGTGATAAAGACTTTATATATATATATAACATTATTTGATGCTAAATCTTGAAATTTTAAAATGAAAATTGTTTTTTTTTATGTAGTTTTCCAAACGTTTAATCGCGATTGTATATATTGTTATAGTTACTGTAACTTTTAATAATTGTCATAGAATAAAAGTTATATTTATAATAAAATATTAAAAACTTCATGCTGAAACTAATTCTTCTCTTTAAAGTAAAAGTATTATTTTTGTTAATTATGCAAACTTATTAGTAATAATATTACAACTACGTTTTCAAAAATATTGCTTAGCAATATTATCTAAATTATATATTGTTATTACCAATATATAATAAATAATATTTTGCTATTAGCAATAATTGTTAATTGATATATAAAACTATTGCTTAGAAATGTTAAGTATTAATTTAAAAAAAAGCGTTGATAGAAAGATAAGTTATACAGAATTAACAAATACTAACAGTTAAAAAAAAAAATAATTTATAATTTTAAAATAGTTGAACATCTTGTCAGGGAGTAAATTTAAATATAAATCACAGCAATTCTTATTCTATAAAAAAATGAAAAAATGACAAAAAAAAATTGCGTACTTGTTTAAAACTAATGTGGAACCTCTAAGTAAACAATCAATCAAATTCAAAGACGATTGATGAATTTCTTGAAAACCAAAATAAATACAAACCACGCGTTTACTTTTTAAATAACCATTAGTTTTTAAAAAATGAAATGTTTAAAATTTGAAAATTTGGAAAAACAATTTTTATTTGTTTTTTTTTTTTGATAAATCAAATCATTTTTTGGATAAAACCTTTAAATTTATTTTTTGGATAAAACCATAAAACCTTTCAATTTTCTGTGAAAGCGATCGATTTTCTGGATAATCAACAAAAAAAAATTTTTGTAATAATGTATGGTTCATTATTATTATTATTTTTTTCTTAAAAAATATAATAAATTTTCAACGCAATAGAAATATATCTGATTTTACTTAGGCAGCAAAATTTATGTGAAAAGTAAGAAAAAGTTTGTTTTTAACGTGTTAAAGAGTAAGCAACTATTTTTGCTCTGGCATAGTTTGGCATCCAACTATCAGTTTACATCAAAGATTTTGTACACCACATATTTTGTGATTCGTCTCATATATTCTGTTTATTTTTAATTTTTAAATTTTAATAAACAAAATTTTGAAAAAAAAAAAAAAAAAAATTGTTTATATATAAAAAAAGTACTTTTATATTTACATTAATTTATGCATATATTACATTTCAATAACAGTAAGTTTTTTTTTTGCGAGTTATATTCATGTTTTGAAGGGGCTTGATGATAAGACTGATTTTGTTAACTTCTTGCCCTAGCCGTCTATACAAATTTTATTCAAGTCTATTTTTGTAAACGTTTTGTAATGACGAAATACAATTAAAAAAAAAATGTATGCTATTGACGATGTATGCCATAAACACGCTGCCTATTTTTGAACAGCTTTTATGTGAACATATAAATTGTTATACGCCGTATAATTTAATACGTTCGTGTTTTTACTTGTTTAAAGTTACGCAACTGTTTGCTAAACATTTTTAAATTAATAAGCTTATAAAAGTTAACAAGGATTCCTAAGGAAATGTTTACATGTTAATATAAAACTAAAGAACTCTCGGAGTACCAACAACTTTCACGACGGGTGGAACTCCGTATTCTAGGTCAAAACGGGGATTCTACACACTTACTTTGCAACCTTGACAACTAATAACTATTTCATACAAACAGATGTTTTATTGTATAAGTTACATTGTTTTTGTTTGATTTACTGCTTAATTATGAGTCTCTTTTTCAATCTTTGAAAATTGAAAAGTTCTGTTCTTTTCAATCTGTATAACATTTTAGTAATTGCATAACTTATGTATAAAACTTGTATATAAAAATTGCATGATCTTTTTAAGTAATGCTTGTTAAACTATACAGAGATGGACTTCAGTATTACAGCTAGCTTGGTGACAATAATATCATACAAAAAAAAAACATCTATGAAAATAAACAATAAACTAAGAGACAAGAGTTTTTATGACGAGAGGTCTTTAATATATAAATATTTTTTGAGAAAAAGTTCTATCTTTATAAGATCATTATTTTATCTTACTGTCGTAAAAATGATTTAAAAATTTGGTACACATAAAACATATATTTTTATTTTTCATTTTCATATTTTTATGAGGCAACGCATTTTTTAAGTTCTTTTAAATTTAGACTGAAAAACTTAATACAGAAGACAAGAAGACTCTCTCTGCAAGAGAAACGGAACCTCCTGAATATGAAAATCAAGAAGAAACACAAAAAGCTACGCCAATTTGCAGGCACGGTGTCATAGATGGTTGCGTAAAATGCCGGACAAATGTATTAGATTCTAAAAAAGAAGTAAAGAAGAACAATTGTTATCAATCTTAGAGAAGACAATAAGAAATTTAAATAGAAATGGGTAATTTGTGCGCTCATAGTTATAAACATATAATTTTTAAATTGAAAAACATAAACAGTTTAGAGTGAGACCATGTTTTTTTTAAAAAAGCTTACGCTCTGTGAAAAGTAATGCAATAACTATGGTACGACTGACCAAGCGTGATTCGGCGCACTTATGCCAATTCGTATTTATGTAAATTTTGTAATTGCTTTGGATTTATGACAGTTTGCACCTAAGAAGTTTGCACTTATGCCAATGCTTGCAAGCTCATTTGGCGCTCTTATACCAATTTGCTCTTATGTCAGTTTGCACTTGAACCAGTTTTTGTAACTGCTATGCAATTATGACAATTTGATCTTATGCCAATGTTTGCAAATTTAGTCGGCGCACTTATGCCAATTCGCACATATGAAATTTGAACTTATTCAGACTCCCGAAAATAATTCAACATTATAAATGTTTTTTACAATTGTTGTTATAACATTATATTTTAAGTATTTTTAACAGTTTAATAGTTTGTCTTTTTAATAATACGGGAGTTTCACATAATTTTTTGTAAAAATAGTATTTTGAAGAGTATTTCATTACTTTAAAACTGATTGTAATTTAGTTTTCTGTTAAGACATCTGGTTTTATACAAGTGCCACATATATTAAATCTATTCACTAAAATTATAATGTAAACAATAAAGTTATTTTTAAACACTATTAAAGTAATTATCAATATTTATGCGGTCTCATTAACTTTATTTATAAAAAAGCTTACATTTCAGGAAACAATACATTTCAAATTACTGTCAATTTTATAAAAAGATTCATCGGATTATTAACTTATTTTCAATATTCAGCTTTACTCATTCAAACGGGAACTGGAGAAGACGAAAATTACACATATCTTTCCAACAAAATTAAAACATCTTAATTCACATTTCAAATATTTTTAGTTTAATCAAATTGACCATGTTATGATTTTTTTTATATTTGTAAATCAGTATTTATTTTTAATACTCCCTCTATTCCGATATACCGTTCCGATTTCACGTTTTTGATGAGAAAAAAGCAAATATCTTTAATTAAATGACTTTTTTGAAACGTTATTTGAAAATGTTCAAAAAGGGCCGCGACAACGGGAGTACCAATAGCGTTTTGCGTCCACTTTAGATTTTTGAAAAAAGATCTATTGTTATTACAAATTACGTTTTTTGCGATATTTCATTAGTTTAGGCTTTTGGAGCAGAATATAGAGCAAGCAGTATACGCTCATACTGATTAATAATCTAGGGTATCTATCTAATTTTTGTATACTTTTTTGTTTACGCATGTTTATATATGATAATAAAGTATTCAATTGCTTTTTTTTTTTAACTAGACTTTTATATGGTCAGGAATGGTTTAAGTACTTTATTGGGCTCTAGGCTTTGAAATACTTCCTGCCCATTTGCTTTCGCATTTCAAACTTACGTGCATTTGTAAACAGAATATATTTTCTAATTGTTGTGCTATGGCTTTCAAATGTATTTTCTTCAGAATCTAAACGTCACTTTTTATAAAAAGATTGTGTTTAGATAAACATGTCGTTTTAAAAAAATTGACTTATGTATGTACGCGATTTAAAAAGACTTTAATGCATCAATTGTAAAATAAAAATCAATCTATTAATTAAATTAAAGAAACTATTTTTATTAAAGAAATAACAAATTACAGGTTTTTAATATTTAATTTATATTTTTCAATAAAAATATTTCCATAAGTGTTTATTATGCTGAATATGTAACTATTGAGCGATAAACACTTTTGATCTTTTTCAATCTTAAAAATAAACGTGCTCAGGAACAGCTTGTTTTAGCCATTATCAATATGGTTTTAAGACTTTGTTTAAGAAATTTTAAGATTTGTCTATTTAGATTGAGTAGAGCCAAAGCTAAAGGTTTTCGTTTAACTATATTATTATTTTTCTTAGCTGGAATAAAAGCTTCAAATTGGAGACATTTGTTTAATAAATTAGAATTGAAATCATTTTGATAACGGAAAACAAGTTTTTGTACACTACAAGTAATCCTGTGTTGACATTTATGTTGCAGAGGTTCATAAGAAAAAGGAAAATTTAATCCTCAATAGACTTTTTTTAATTTGTCTTGTTTACAAATTAGTTTGTTTATAATCTCGTTAACTCAACTCTTATTTTGAAATTTTCAGTAAAGACTGTATCTTTGCCGTTGCTGACTTTATAATAATGTTTCTTGCGTGGTCTTGGAGGCCTATGATCTAAAGCATATTCTTTTGTGTTGATCATATATATTGCTACTTGAACTTTGTGGGCTCTCAATTATCACTTTTAAAAACATTTTAGTACTAAAATTACTAAATTAAATTTTTGGAAAGATATATTTGAATAAAAAAACACAAAGTTTTTATAAACTTGATAAATTTTAAATTGAGTAGGTTCATACTAGAAACATTATCTTTATTTATAAAATATCTGAAATTGCACATTTTTACAGTTCTAAAACAAAAGCTTAAACGATTGCAAAAATTTGTGTGTCAATAATAGACTTATCACAAGTACAGCATTTATAACCATAAAAACTATAAAGATAACTTTGCCTAGAAAGGTTTGTATCGAATTATGAACTCCACATTGTCTGAACTAGAAATATGGAGCAAAGGTTTTTATTAAATAACATAATTGAGCTAGAAACGCTTCTTTTAAGCAACAATGTTTTCGTTTAAAAAGATATTGTAGAATTGTATTCTTCCGATTTAAAACAACTTTTCCTGGATTAATTTAGTTGACGCTGTGATCTTCAAGGGAATAAAAAATGACTTCAACTTGAGATAAAAGGCTTGAAATCAATCGTTATTTTGGTACAAAACTTAACTTTTATAACAAACTAAAAGCGAGTAAAATAATAGGAGACATTAATTCTAAAGTTAAAGTTATGAGTTTTGACAGATCTGAATAACCTGCGCTAGTCGGCCTTTTAGACTTATATATAGTAATTTAACAACATGGGTTCAGTCTAAGAGTTCTTTTTGTTTTGAATGTTTGAGAAAATTCTGACCACACACATTTGATTGAGAAAGTATTGTTTAATGTTTTAAACTAATTCTAAATTAAATCAGAATTAATTTTTAAAAATCGGACTTCAATAAAAAAAAAATTAATTCAAAAAATAAAATATAAGACTTTTTCAATAAAACAAATATAAAAGCTAAAAGAAAAACATATCTTATTTAATTCATAGTATAATTCTATTTTTCAGTGCAAAAAAATGAAGTTGTGTTTTAAGTTCTAAATAAAATTAGTGTAATTGCTCATTTTACAGCAAATAAGATTTACAGCGTTTTAGCTAATTGGATTTAATTTTGCTAAAAAATCTCATTTTTTTAATTTTTTAAAAAAACTTCATCTGATTGGGAAATTGCAAAAAAATTTTAAAAATCTGAAAAAATTGGTTAATAATTACGTCAAGATCGGCTTTTATAATGGATCTTATAAACGAAGAGTACGCAAATGTAAAACTGATTAAGGTAATAACGAACTGTTGTACGTTGTGCAGCTGCTAAGCACATGACTGTATCTCTGAAAAAAGGAAAAGTATTAAAGAGGGACAGAGTAGGTGTTTTAGTTCACATAATGGAGAGATTTACCTACTTTGAGTACCTACGCTAGCATCATCCACTGGTGAAGATCAGTTCTTAGGTGTAACAAATCTAAGTAAGGAGTATCAACATACGTCAAAAACTAGCGGAATATGATTTGGTACAACGTTATCCAATTATGTGACAACTAAAGAATCAGTTTTCAGAATATCTAAAGAACTAGATAAGTATTTTTTTTAAACAGCCTGTAGACATCGCGTGATTGAATTAAGAATGCTTCATTTTTGGAAATTAGGGACCAATGACAAAAATAATAATCTTCTTTTTAAAAAGTTAAAAGATATTTTTGAAAACATAACTTTAGTTATAATCAAGCTCAATTGTTACGATTTGATTATAATAAGTTTAAAAGCTCTCTTTTAAAAAAAGAAGCTAATAAGTCATTGGAACATTGCAGAGCTTGTGTTGATAAACCAAGTATTATGAGGGATGACAGAAGTGAGCTTGCAGAATTAGTTGTCACTTATTAATCTCATTTTACATATAAAGTAAGAAAAACTGTTGCTATTCATCATGCAAGAATTTTAGGAAAAGCAATTTATTATCTAGAGCTTCAACTTCCATCCAATTAACTTGGGTTTGTTCAAGAAAAGGATAAGCTGAAAACTGAAATTAAGTATTTAACAGAATTTATTGTTTTCCCGAATTTATTATTTGCTCAGATTGTATATACAATTTTTGCAAAACTGTATTTACAATCTGAGGATATCGTTAAAGCTCCATTTCTTAATCTTACAGCAATAGATCAATTGTATCTGTACAAAAAAGTAAGTATAAACCCAATAGCTGTTGATGCTGTGTTAAAGTCTCAGTATAAGCATTGTAGGTATTTGGATTCAAAAATGATACCTCTAGCTTTGCTAGATAATGAGTTAGCATAAGATGAGAAGGCAATATTGCATCAGCAATTCTGTCATTTGATATATCTAGCTCTGACTACTATAAGACTGAGAATAAAGTAAAAGTTGATATCAAGGAAAATTACAAAATGAATAAAAATATTGGTAAAAAACTAACATCCTTGTCTGCCTTAATTAACAATTATTCTTACCTAATTTTTGACATAATTGGCCGGGAAAAACAACGAGTTGAAGACTAGCTATTACTCATACGAAACTATTCGCATACTAGCATGCTTTAAAATTTACTTGTACATTATTAACAAACAATATATTATATGAATTAAATAATTGATTTTTGTTTTGAACTTATGTCTATTTTAACAAAAAGTAAAAAAAACAAAACATAACTGACAAACAAAATAGATAATAATTATTTTTATATAACTATATAAAATTTATATATATATAAATATATATAAATATATATATATATATATATATATATATATATATATATATATATATATATATATATATATATATATATATATATATATATATATATATATATATATATATATA